TAATAAGATGTGTTGTTAGCCCGATGTTGGTAGTTAGATAATTTGTGATTTTAAAAAAAACAACCTGACTTCATGTCAATCTCTCTTAAGTAATGATTGATGGCTATGTCCTATGTCTAATACCTGAGAGGAAGATGGAAGGAGAGATCTTCCAAAGAGAATATGAGAGGTTGTATGGCTTTCTGAAGGAGACACTAGGGCTCAGACTCTATATAAGAAAGAGTTTATCCTAAATATGATTCTGTTCAAAGGTGGAACAGGTTTCCTTTCACGGGCAGTAAAGTAAGCCAGATTAAATAGACCAAATGCCAGTAAAGACCTTCACATGTAGAGGGGATGGAGCAGGTGATTTTTAAGGTCATATTCACTATTAAGAATTCCAAGTCTGTGATCTGAGAGTAGATAGGACCCGGATAGTGGCTGGGGATTTCTAGGCAAGGGAACAATACAAGTAAAGGAGTGGAGACCATAAGGCCTTCTTGGGTCAGAGTGAGTAGATGAGAATAGCTGTTGTGGAGGGATTTGGAGAGAAGGAGGTTTGGGAGAAGGCTTATGAAGGATATAAGACTGTTCATTCTCTTGGACAGTCCACCAAACATAGTCTCCTTATAAATGTTAGCTACTAACACCTTAATGCATTTTGCACCTAGACTTCTAAGAAAGGGGCTCGATTCCATGCAAAACTCATTAGCCTTCACCCAGGAATGCTTTTTCTGTACTTTGAATGTTTCTTAGCTTTTCCTTTGGATTCTGATAAGGATCTTAGAGAGAGGTCACATGTGTGTGCTTTCTCCGCACCTTTTCCTCTTCTCTCTAGATTTGGCTGTTGGCCCTGAGTCCCCAGGCATTGTAAACTCCTGGTCCACACCCTCTTTTCCATTAGGAAACTAGTTTCTCCGATAGCACAATAGCTGGGGCAGTAGGGATAGGACAGGTCCCTGTTGACTCAGGATGGGAGTGTCCTTTCCTCATCAGCGCCAGTCCAGCTCTGGACTAGCTGTTGTCTAGTTATGGCTTAATTCAAGGATCTTAGGATCCATAAAGGACAGGAGACTCATGGGGGCTAGCTGTATAATTTCACTCCCAGCTTTGTTGGTGTTGGAGCATGTTAGGAATGGGAGTGGGGGTGCTAACAGGAAGTGTTCTGGAGCCAGTGATTTCAAAAACTACCATATATCAAGGGCTGTTGGGATCTATAGAGGTTGGTTCAGCATCCCCTCTCAAAACAGATTTAGAGAAAATGAAGACTTGTTCAAGGTCACATAGGTAGTTAATGGCAGAGCAGGGGATAGGACTCAGAATTCATGTATCCTTGAGTTAAGACCCTTTTTGGAGCTAGTGTGGTGTATATACATTGGGTCTCTCAGTCTACTTGTTGGCGAGGAGTTTGGGGGTTTTAGGAGGACTGAACTCAAGGTCCTGAACCAGAGCATACCTGCTCTTATTTGTTTTATTTGTGTGTTTATATATGTGTGGGATGCATATAAGATTTCAGTTTATCTTCACTCTTAAGATTATGGACTTTAAAGCCTGATGAGCTGGGTTCAGATTGTGACTTAGTAACTATGTGGTTTCTCATAAGTTACTTAACTTCTTTGTGCTTCAGTTTACCCATTTATAGAATGAGGATAGTAATCAACTTCATAGGGATCTTATAAGAATTGAAAAAATTAATACATGCACAGGCTTATTTTAGAGATGAGGACATGAAAGTGCTCAATAATGGCCCTTGCTAGTGTGGCTCAGTGAGTTGAGCACCAGCCTGTGAACCAAAGGGTTGCTGGTTTGATTCCCAATCAGGGCACATGCCTGGGTTGTGGGCCAGGTCCCCAGATGGGGGCGTGTGAGAGGCAATCACACAATGATGTTTCTCTCCGTCTTTCTCCCTCCCTTCTTCCCCTTTGTCTAAAAGTAAATAAGAAAGTATTTTTAAAAATCAAGAAACAAAAGAAGTGCTCAATAATGTTAGTCATCAGTACTAATTCATGTATAGGATGGATTTCACTGCTTTAAAAAAGTATAAAAAACACTACTTTGTACCATATTTTTTCTCCGCCAATATCTCAGCTTTCTTCAACTCTCCGCAAGCATCCCAAAGCCATCTGTGGCTGGTACCTGCATGGTGTCGGGGTTTGAGTAGTGTGGAGAAGATCATTGGGTAAAGACTTCGGAAAAACAGATTTCTACTAACCTAATTATATGAACCTAAGCAAGTCTTTTCCCCATTCTGAATGTCACTTTTCCTATCTCTAAAAAGGAAGAAGGTTCCAGAATCAACAGGGACCTATTGTGCTACCTCAGAGTCCATTGTGGCTGCTCAGCTGCCAACCCTCACATCTGTATTCTATCCATCAGGAAGGTAGAAGGGAGAGAAAGAAGGTCCTTACTCCTAAAAGAGACTTCTAATTATATTTAATAGGAAATTAAATTAGAACTTAGTCATAGGGTCACATCTAGCTGCAAGGAAGTCAAAGAAAAGAAGTTTTCACTCTGGGTGGCCTAGAACTAGTACAAAATCATTATTTTATGTATTAGAAAGAAGAGCATAATATATATAGGAGTAAAAAGCCCACAGCTTCTATAGTGTCACAGAACAGTTTGGGAAGCTGATAAAATTCTGAACAATCCCCACCTCAAAAAAAAAAAAAACCCTTAAAAAAAACATTCACACAAGGCTATGCATACAATTTCAGAGAGTTCATAGGTGCTGAGTACACAACAGTGAACATGATACATGAGAGCCCTGATGTAATAGAACTTACAGACTAGTATAATAAACAAGGAAATATGTCCTATGATACCAGGTAGTGATAAGTGCTACAAAGAAAAATGAAACAGGGTAATGGGGCAGAGGAAGCTTCTATTACAAGGAGATCATTGGGTAAAGACCTGAATGAAGTGATAAACAACCATGTGGATATATGGGAAAAAGCATTCAAAACGGGGAATGAAAAGTTGTAAAGACCCTGAAGTGGAAGCGGGCAAGGTAATCAGCAAGGATGACAATTTGTCTGGAGTAGCTTATGTGAGAAATGATAGGAGAGGAATGAGATCAAAGAGGTGATGGGGGGAGACAAGAGAATTCAAGGCCTTTTAGTGTATTGTAAGGCCTTTGAATTGTATTCTGGATAGAATAGATACCATTGGAAGTTTTCAGAAATGGAACGACATGAGAATTCTGGCAGCTGTGTGGAAAACAGACTTTAGGGAGAAAACAGTGGAAGCAGGAAAACAATTAAAAAGCAGTCTGAATCGTCCAGGGGTGGGATAATGGGGAATGGACCAGGGAGAAAAGTAGATGGCAGGGTTAAATGCACATGTTTTGTTTCTTTTAATCCTCATAATTTAAAAGTATATGATTCCTTAAAATATAAGGCTTTTTTTCACCTTGTTTGTTCCTTTCAGTAACCTCATTTGGAACTTAGGAAAAGCACTATTATCTTAAGTTTTAAAAAAGAAGTGAAGGATGGATGATAACTTGCCCTAAATTCCAGAGTTACGAAAGCTGACGCATCTAGCATAATTTATCTAGTGCTAAGTATATTCCTTGAGTTGTTTGTTATCTCTTTCTCATATGAGATCCCGAGATGTTTTCTCTTTGTTTCTGTCATTTTAATTTTGAAATAATGTCATGGTTACTGAAAATTTTCAACATTAGTACAATTTCTATATGCTCTTTAGTAGCTTCTCCAAATGTTAGCATTTTTAGAATTAGAGTAAGATGATAAAAATCAGTAAATTTACACAGATTTAATGCTACTTGTATACCTATTCAAGTTTCAGCAATTGTCTGATTGATGTCCTTTATCTGGTCCAGGATCCCACATCAGATTTGGTTGCCGGGTTCCCTTACTTCGCCTCCACTCTGTGACAGCCTCTTAATCTTTACTTGTCTTTTATGACCTTGACATTTTTGAAGCATACAGGCCAGTTATTTTATAGAACATCTCAAAATTTGAGTTTTATGATATTGCCTCATGGTTAAATTCACCTGATACATTTTTGTCAAGAGTATCAAGAAGTGGTAGTGTCTATTCTGTTACTGATCCTATTACATTTGGTCACTTGGTTAAGGTTTGTTTGCCAGACTTTTCCACTGTCAAGTTACTATTTTTCCCTTTGTAATTGATGAGTAATTAGACGTTTTTCACTGGCCAGTAAACTGAGGCATGAAGGTGTGTAGTAACCTACCCATGGGTGCACAGGTAGAAAGTGATGGAGACTCTTTTCTCTAAAGCTTGTAATTATTCTGTTCCCCTGTATTCACATTGCCTCTTGAAAGATGCCAAACTTGCCTCTTAAATTCAGCTTTGCCGTGCTGAATTTGGCTTCGTTCTGTCCCTCTTAGCTTATTAGAGTTAGGAAAACAGCCAGCTCTTTGGCAGCATTTTCTTGATTTGGGGGTTGAGCTAGTTACAGCCAAAATGACAGTTGTGAAGGGAGCTCTCTTCCTCTGCTTCCAGGATCGCCATCTGATAAAGGGTATGGAACCTTCGGAATCCTGGTCCCCTTAGCCTGTCTTTCCACCATCTGCTTTTATTTACCTTATTGTTTGGTGACTCACTACCTTAGAAAAGCTTAGTGGTAGAGAATGAGTGATGCTGATACCCAATTCTGGAAAACTCATCAGATAAAGAGAGATTCCTTTCTTGTGTTTGAGGTATGGTAATGGTGAGGGTGATCATCTTAAACCTATTGGTCCTTGCCATTGCAAATCATTTAAAAAAATACTCTGGATATTTCCCACACAAATTTGAAAAATTCCTGGTGTTCTTAGCTGGCTCTTGTGAAAAACAATATTTTGACTTGAAGTTAGGAGACCTGGGTTCTAAGTCCTGAGTGAATCCCTTGTTAAGTTCTTTTTCTTCTCTGAACCTTCATTTCTCCTTGTACAAAATGACAACTAAATATAATGATCTCCAAGGGTCATATATATAAAAACTATGGATTTTTATCCTGATGAAAATACCAATGCCAATCTGATTTCTCACCCCCTGCAGATGACAACCAGACCTTTGTGGAGACCTACTACGAAATGCCACTGGTGATCACTGTGTTTACTGATACCCAAGAGGTGCTTGTGCCATGCCGAGTCACTTCTCCTGATGTCAGTGTCAAGCTTCAGTTGGTAAGTTGCATTTTGGAAGTGTCAGATAGAGGACTTGTTGCTAACTCAAGTATGAAATGTAAAAAAGAGTAAGGGACTGTGTTTCTTCATTCCTGGTACTTGCTCCAGTGCGCCGTGTCTGCCTCTTTGGGGCAGCATATAGAAGCACACATACTACCACTTTACTTTGGATGAGTATCACCATGAGAGGTTTATAAAAACTAGGGATAAATGCGATGGATGCTTAGATGTTTCATGAGACCCCATGTGGACTAGACATAAACACTGTCCATGTCTACAGGTCTTGGGTCAGAGAGCTTTTTTTCTGAAATAGAAAATGGAGGATAGTTTTCAGAGAAATATACAAGGAAAAGAGAGGGAAGGTAAGCTCGCCCATGTAGCTTGATTAGTTAAATCCATCTTGGTGATGACTGCAGTAACATATGTCCCTTGTAGATCACCTCCATAGCCACCAAAGCCCTCAGCACCCATAGTTGTATAACATCACTAGAAATTTTAAACCAATTCATGTACATTGCCCCCTTGGAGCTGCACACATAACTACTCTGTAAAGTGGATGGAGCTGGTTTTAGTGTTTCCGTTTTACATATGAGGGATTGTAGGCTTAGAGAAAAGGAAAAATATGCTTATGGTCCATATTTGAAAAGGTCATGGTGAAAAGTAAAAATAGATGTTATGCCCTGGGTGGCGTAGCTCGGTGGGTTGAGTGAGGGCGGCAAGCCAAAGGGTCACCACTTCGATTCCCAGTCAGGGCACATGCCTGGGTTGTGGGCCAGGTCCCTGGTGTGGGGCACACAAGGGGCAACCACACACTGATGTTTTTCTCCCTCTCTTATTCCCTCCCTTCCCTTCTCTCTAAAAATAAATAAATAAAATATTTTTTAAAATATATGTTCTGATTCCCTGTCTAGTGCTCCAGCTATTATTCATGTGGCCTTCCTCAGCATAGCAGGCTACCTCTGCTCCCCTCCTAGATGCACTGTACCTCTGCTCCCAAGCCCTTTCTCACTTTCACGTTAGGAAAAAGCTGTGAACCTCTCACAGCAGCAGACAGAGATCATTTCACTTTCCTTAGGTAGAGGGAGCATCAGCAATGTCCCAATGCCTTCTGCCAGTACAGCTGTGAAAACTGAGAGATGGGTCAGCCTGGAAATTGTGCCTGGTAGCAACAGCTGATGTGGCAAAAGAAGGTGCAAAAGCCCATGGGCCAAAGAATTTAGTGTCTTAAAAAGTTCCGTGAGACCTTGGAGTCCATTAGCCGTTCCCTGAAGACCACACTGTCCTCCTCTTTCCAGGCTTATCTGCCCCTTAGGTTGTTAGTTCATTGTACATTCAGAGGAGCAGCCCTCAGGGCCATGCTGTCATCCTCCCCCCACTGAACCACCAGCTCCCACTCTTCTCTGGGACATTCTTTTGGCTCTTTCTAAAGGGAAGAGGAAGGTGCTCCTTGTCTTTGGGATTTGGTCCAGAAAGAAGCAGTGGCGTGGGGGAATGGGTGGAGCAGGGAGGATGCAGTCTGCTGGAGAGTTTATGTGCTTGGCTGGCCACCTCATCCTTCCTCTACCTAGTAGCAGCGAGGGTGTCCTGGCCCACCCACCAGGCCTCTTTGGTGGGGCTTGGAGTCACTATGTCTCTTTCCTCTGCTAAAAGGAAACACTAGGTGGGGAAGGGACTGACCTGTCTAATTTAAAACATCCTTTTCTAAAATTAAACCCTAGTAGGCAGCCAGTTTACCTCCAGATGACATTGTCAGGGTATGGAAGAGGCATACCCGAGATTCGCTTTTTCCTAAGGCCTTTGCTGCTTTCATTAGAAAAGGCAACCTCATGGTATCCAGAAATCTTTCCCTTCCATTAAAAGGGGATTCAAAGATATAACAACCCATAACAACCCATAACATTTCACTTTGTTTGCTAATCACCAACATTTCCCACAGTTCAAGTTAGCTCCTTTATCATGTAATTGTATTCTGAAACAAAAACTCAACTTACTGCTGCCTTTTAAAGAGCTTTGGGCTGAAGACTCTACCTCAACCCTTAGACACTACTTTCAGCTTGAAGCTTGGCTACTGTAATCTGACAGGTGGATTGAAGGTGCCCTGCCTTGGACGATGTGGCTCAGTTGGTTGGAGTGGTGTCCCATACACCAAAAGGTTGCAGGTTTGATTCCTAGTCAGGGCACATGCCTAGGTTACCAGTTCATTCCCTGATTGGGGCACATACGGGAGGCAGCCAATCAATGTTTCTCTCTCACACTGATGTCTCAGCAGTAAAAAAACTCATCAGGTGAGGATAAAAAAAAAGGTGCCCCTGAAGAACATATAAGAGGGATTTCTATCACACTGTAAATAGCTCTTGAGTTGGTCTCTAGAATCAGGTCAGTGTCCTTACACCCACAGAGAGAGCAGTTCTGGACTAAGAATTAGGAAACCTAAACTATAGGCTGGATAACGATCCTTAACTACTTAGGACACTGAATGTGGATTATGCCTTGTAAAATGCAATAGGTTATATAAGTGAAGGTGCTGTATAATTATGATTATTAGAAGTGGAATTTGACTGCTTCTTTGGGTGTTTCCTGCTTCCTGATCTGCTCTCACAAGACCCACATAGATGTCTGCGGTCCCCTTCTTGCATTTCAGTTCCATCACTGGATTTTGGTGACTCAGCCACAGGTGCAGGAGAGAGAAGAGTGCTCCTTTTCTGAAATTGTAGCTTTAGGGGAAGTGCGCTTCAGTTAAAACCAAATTAACAATATATTCAAGGGAGTTTGCCCAACAGTAATAGTAAATAAAATCAACTTCACGAAGGGAGGAAAACAGAACTCATCCTGAGGACACATTAAATATAATTTGCTTCAATCCAACACATTTACCAAGTCTACTCTGTTTCAAGCACTGGCCAAACATAGTAATAGCAAATTGCCATAACATGTTACCGCAAAGTGAGTGGCCTAAAACTACAGAAACATATTCTTGCATAGGTCGGGAAGGTGGAAGTCTGAAATCAAAGTGCCAGCAGGGCCGTGCCCCCATTGAAGGCTCTGTGAAAGGATCCTTCCTTGCCTCCTCCACTGCCTGGTGGCTCCACACATTCCCTGGCTTGTGGGTGCATAACATTGATCCCTGCCTTGGGATCAACATGGCCTTCTCCCTTCTTTCTCTGTGTGTGTCTTTTCTGTCTTTTATATGGTCACATATCATTAGAGCCCAGCCTAATCCAGGATATTTTTATCTCAACATTCTTAAGCTAATTATATCTGTAAAGATTCCTTTTACAAATAACCCATCTGGGTAGATATATCTTTTTTTAATGGGGGGGGGTCTCTGTTCAACCCACTAGAAGTCATTACCAGTGCTATGTATTTTATTGAGAGCTTGACCTGCCTTATCTTATTTAATATCCACAATTGATGTTCTCAGAGTTCAATGCCTACCTTCCAAATAGTGTGGTATCTGTGTGTGTGTGTGTGTGTTCTGGAAGGAGACTTCATACTGTTCTTAATAATTGTTGTTTGTTTTGACTTAAGTGCTCTATTCGATGTTTATATGTACTGACCACAGTGGGAGCACAGAGGAGGAGAATACTTTCCTGAGTCAGTCTTTGCTGAGGAGCTGCACTGTTAATGAGTTGCGCCCTGCTAAATAAGTAGATGCACCTTCAGTGGATAATTGGGCAAAGAACACAAGTAGATGAATGAACACATGAAGGAGTAGCCAGGATTATTGTTTGAAAGTGAATGAAATTTAACAAAACCTAACATATTAGAATTGGCTTAAGTGAAATGGAAAGTGTATTTCAAAAGGAATAGTAGGGCTATAGGACTCAGTGACATGTATTCAGCAACAGTTCCTCTTTTGAACACCACAGACCTGCTTCTTTCACAGACGAGATGTGGTCATCTACAGGGCATTGTCTATTACATATATATTCATTCATTTTTTAAAGATTTTATTTATTTATCTTTAGAGGGCAAGGGAAGGAGAGAGGGAGAGAAATATCAATGTGTGGTTGCCTCTCATGTGTCCCCTGTTGGGAACTGGCTTGTAATCCAGGCATGTGCCCTGACTGGGAATCGAACCGTGATCCTTTGGTTCACAGGCCCACACTCAATCTCTACTGAGCTACGCCAGCCAGGGCTTTTTTTTTTTAAGATTTTTGTCTTTTTAAAAAGATATATTATTGATTATGCAATTACAGTTGCCCCAATTTTTCCCCCTTTGTCCTCTGCCCACTACCCCCGTTCTCTCCAGCAATCCCCTCCTTAGTTCATGTCCATGGGTCGTGCTTATAAGTTACTTGATTTCTCTGTTTCCTATACTATTCTTTGCCTCCCCTGTCTATTTTGTACCTACCATTTATGCTTCTTAATTCCTGTATTCTTTATCCTCCCAGCTGATAACCCTCCATGTGATCTCCATATCTGAGATTGTATTCCTGTTCTGCTTGGTTTTTGTTTAGATTTAGTTGTTAAAAGTTGTGCATTTGTTGCCCTTTTAATAACATTCATAGTTCTGATCTTCTTTTTCTTAAATAAGTCCATTTAACATTTCATTTAACAGTGGAATGGTGATGATGAACTCCTTTAGCTTTACCTTGTTTAGGAAGAACTTTATCCACCCTTCATTCTAAATGAAAGCTTTTCTGGATAGACCAATCTTGGGTGAAGGTCCTTGCTTTTCATGACTTTGAATACTTCTTGCCAGTCCCTTCTAGTCTGCGAAGTTTCTGCGAAGAAATCAGCTCCCAGTCTTATGGGAGCTCCTTTGTGGGTAATGGTCTCCTTTTCTCTTGCTGCTTTTAAGATTCTGTCTTTATCTTTAACCACTGACATTTTAATTATTATGTATTTTCATGTAGTCCTCTTTGGGTCCAACTTGTTTGGGATTCTCTGTGCTTCCTGGACTTGTATGTCTATTTCCTTCACCAAATTAGGGAAGTTTTTTTTTTTTTCATTATTTTTTTCAAAAAAGTTTCAATTTCTTGCTCTTCCTCTTCTCCTTTTGACACTCCTATGATTCTGATGTTGGTACGTTCAGAGATGTCCCAGAGGCACCTTATACTATCCTCACTTTTTAAATCCTTTTTTTTTTTTTTTGCTGTTCTAGTTGAATAATTATTTCTTCCTTATGTTCCAAATTGTTGACTCGAATCCCAGTTTCATCCTCTCCACTGATGGTTCCCTGTAGCTTTTTCTTTATTTCACTTACTGTACCCTTCATTTCTTACTGGATCTTTTTCATTTTGTTGCTGTACTCAGTAAGTTCTTTGAGCATCCCAATCACCAGTGTTTTGAACTCTGCATCTGATAGGTTGGCTAGCTCCTCATCATTTAGTTCTTTTTTCTGGAGTTTTGATCTCTTCTTTAATTTGGGCCGTATTTCTTTGTCTCCTCAACTTGGCAGCCTCCCTGTGTCTGTTTCTGTGTATTAGGTAGAGCTGCTTTGACTCCCTGTCTCAGTAGTGTGGCCTATTGTATAAAAGGCCCCTGTAAATTGTGTGGGGCAGAACCTTAGGTAATCATCAGAGTAGGGCAACCCACTTTACCACTTTGTGGCTCTGTGTGGGGGAGGACTTGGAGAGTGGACTGTGCCACTGCTTGGCTTCTGGAGGTTTGCCCGGCACTTGCCCTGTGCTACTGGTACACTTTCAATTGTGGCCCTGGTGTTGAATCCCAGAGGAGTCTGTGTATGTTTTAAGACCATGTAGGACCTTTAAGTGGAGTCTCCTGAAAATCTGGCATTTTTTCCACTGCCCCAACTCCCACTGGTTTTTACAGCCAGAAGTTATGGAAATTTATCTTCCTGGCACTGGAACCCTGGGCTGTATAGTCTGGCCTGGTACTGGGATTACTCACTCCCAAGATATCCCTCCCGATTTTTATATACCACATGTGAATGTGGGATTGCTTGTTATGCCATTGCCACCTCTTCATGCCATACCATGTCTCCATGCCTCTCACCTGTGTTTGCATTTCCTCATCTCTTCCCTTTCTAACTGTCTGGATGAATGGGGCTTCTTTAAATCTTCGTTTGTCAGACTTCCATACAGCTCGGTTACTTGTTTTGAGGTCTAGTTTCAATCCTTTCTGGGGTTGTGTGAGGAGGCAAAGCATGTTTACCTATGCTTCCATCTTAACTGAAAGTCCAGTCCCCTATGTCTTTATTGCCAGAGAAGAACTGATAGGCAATATTTCTCTGACTGCAATTTAGAAAATAATCACAGGGAAGGGTTTTGATTGCCTAACCTAAAATTTGACGCCCACTTCTAGACCAATCACTGAGGCAGAGAGGCAGGATTTGTATGAGAATGACAGCTGTCCTACAATCTACACAGTTAAAGCACGTGTTTCTATAGTGGTGAGAGGAATGTCAGGGCTGGTTAGTGGGAAAGGGTATAGATAATAACAAGAGGAGTGTCCTATTATGAGCAATTGTGCCTAATATAGGTAATGATGTGTCTAATATAGATAAAGAAAATGCAATTTAGATGAAAGGAAGGAAGAGAGATTCTGGAGGTGGAGTCTAACAGCAGAATTTTTTTAACCTTGGCATTGTTGATACGTGGTGTCAGATACTTCTTTGTTGTAAGGTGGGGGCTATCTTGTGTATCGTGGGAATGCTTAAGAGCATCCTTGGCCTCTACCCACCAGATTCCAGGAGCAACACGTGCTCCCCAGTTGTAACAACCGAAAATGTCTCCAGATACTGCCTAATGTCCCCTTGGGAATAAAATCCTCCCTTCCCCCCCACCCCCACTATTCATTGAGAACCACTGATGTATATGATTAATTAGGTGTATGAATTGCTTTCTTAGGACTGAGGCTATAGTTGATCAAATGGGAAAAATTTAGACACAGAGTCTTTATTTCTACTCTGCAGTCAGATTGTGTAATATTTTAGTATCCCACTGTTACTCTGAATTTCTGCATAAACATGCAATAAACTCAAGGGTTTTGACTCCTTGATTACTGAGTGCATTTACTTTCTAAGCTTTCTTTTTGGGATTCATCCCATATGTTATTTGCATTTCCCTTCTTTCGAATTGTTCAGATTCTCTGGGACATTAACTTCCAGGTAGTTAAGTACATTTAGGTTATGGTGAAATTACTAATGATATAAGGGCTTCTCAAAGGGGTACAACAAGGATTCTGGTGAAAAGTGATTTTTGAAAAATAATTTTAAATGTTTTAATTAAAGAAGTAATACTTAAGAAGCTAAAAATAACATGAAACTAAAAAGAAATGTGATATACTTTCAACCCTAGGTTTTGTGTTATTAGACAAAAGGTGGTGACCTCGTTCAGAGATTAAGAATAAGAAGGCTCTGAGTAGATCCTGTTCGGTAAGAATAAGACAACTGAACCAAGAGTCAAAAAGGAATAGAGCCTCAGTGCTGGAAGAGACTTTGGAGACTAATTTGTCAGCTGATACAAAAAAATTATTTTATGGCACCCTGGACAAATAGTCATCCAGCTCTTGTTTCTGTGCTTTCAGTGACGAGAGGTCACCATCTGATTGAGACAAAATAGGTGTCACTGTCATGTCCACTTATTGGTCCCATTTTACCCACTGAAGTTTTATATAAAAGTTCAATGCCTTTTATTTTTAGTTTGAATCATTCTTTATTTGAAAAAATAGATTGCTGAGTACAGTGGGCAAAAGGCTTGTTCTTTTTCAGACACATCATTATAATATAATGCCATTCACAGTTTTTACATTGTGTCAAATGTAGTTTCTTAGTAGCTTTTAAAAAACTATTCATTACTCACTTACACTCATCAAAGAACACAGTATTAGGATTATTTGCTAGTCAATACTTCATTCTTCTCACAAGTTCCCAAATAAGAGTTCTTCAAATACCTGCCCCTCCCACAAATACCAAGAAAACAGCCACCCCACCCCACCTACTCTCTTCTATCCTCAAGTGTTCTCTTTCATCAGGCTAAAAATGTCCTGCTTCTTAAACTATTCCTTATATCACAAGACTTCCAGAACCTTCATAGTTCTTATAATCTTCCTCTGACCATGCTTCAATTTAAAGATTTTCGTTAAAATACAGGATCCATTCTCATATACCAATGAATATAAATTGGTATATTCTTGTTGTGATAAACTTTGATAAAAGATATCAAGTGTCTGGACAATGTTTGTACACTTTGACACAATAATTATGCATCTTAGGATATTGTCCAGTGAACAAGCAAACATTTAAGCATAAAAATGTTGATTGCCACATTATTTTAAATAACAAAATTAAAAATTATTATAACAGCCCTGGCTGGTGTGGCTCAGTGGTTGAGTGCTGGCCTGGGAACCAAAGGGTCACGGTCCGATTCCCAGTCAGGGCACATGCCTCGGTTGCAGGCCAGGTTCCCCAGTAGGGGGTGTGCAAGAGGCAAACACACATTGATGTTTCTCTCCCTCTCTTTCTCCCTCCCTTCCCCTCTCCCTAAAAATAAATAAATAAAAATAAAATCTTAAAACAATTATTATAATGTAAAGGTCTAACAGTGAAGGAATGGTTAAATAAATAACAGAATAACCAATATTATACTAGCATTAAAATTGTTATGAAGAGTTTTTAGTACTATGAGAACATGCTAATGATATAATATAAAAAATAACATTTACTTTATAAGTACAGCTATGTAACAATGTGTACAGACATAGAAAATGGACTGTAAGAGCCAATAAATATTTCATTGTTCCTAGTGGCTTTTTGAGTTCCAGGTCATTATTTTTTCTTTATTTTCTCTAATGTTTTTGAAAACTGTTCAAATTGGTATGTATTACTTTTATATAAACCAAAAGAAAATTTAGTAATCCAGATCTGTTTACAAATTCACTAGCTGAGAATAAACCCTCAGTCTGTGCTGTTTATAACTGGATCCCTAGCACAGAGTACATACTACATACTATTAAATATTAAATGTTTGATTGAGTGAATGAAAGTACCAGCTACAAATGGAGTTCATATAGGTCACTAAGTTCCTTAAACTCTTCATCATTTTTCGTTACATGAGGCAGAAGGAGCAACCCACAGTAACAGAGTGTTGGCACATATCAGGGGCCCTGATGAGCAGTTGAGGAACCTGGGAACCCGACAGCTGCCATTCTTTCATAGAACCTAAAAGAAGGCCTAATGAATCTTAGCATAGCCTCTTTGGGTCTGAGCAACTCCAACTGAAGAGATCCCAGTCTTTCTATTTAATTCAATAATAAGCAACTAGTTAAGCAAGGTATCCCCTATGGACTTCATCTGTAAGATGAGAGTAACAATAATATCTACCTCATAGAGTTATAAAGATTAAATGAGCTAATACAGTGCCTGGTACATAGTAAGTGTTGTATAAGTGTTTACTAGTATAATTATTATTTGTTGAGTATCTACTCTGAGGCCAAAAGTGTACTAATCTCTGAGAAGAAAGCAAAGGTGAGCCAGCACAAACTAAGTTCGGAGAAAGCTTGGGCAGGACAGGAGGAGAACAGTCCAAGGCCATTCCTCTGAGTGGCTTCAGAGCAGATGGTTTGGGAGTGATACTGATAACTGGTGAGAACTTTACATGTATGTCTTCCTATGTTCCCCTTTCCTTGCCGCACAGTTCCACCCTACCACATTCACCTATGAGAACCAAAAGTGGGATCCCCGGAGAGGCTTCATTGTGACCCGACCCTCCTACCACTTCTACAGCAGCATTCTCCAGTGCGTTGCCGAAGTTAATGGGAAGACACACAAATCGTTCTATCTGCCACAGCGTCTAGGTATGTGATCTTATGCTTTTAGATGAGGGGATGAGATCCTGTTGCTCCTTATAATCACTTCCTCTTTGTGATCGTGAAGTAAACCTTACTTCAGCTACAATCACTTCCATTTTACTTAATAACTAGGGATTCAAAGCTTGTGCTTTTAAGAACTGTATGTATCTCAGTAGATAAAGCCCAGGCTAACTTCTACTACATTTCTCTCTTGAGGTGTTTTCAGTTGCCAGATCAGTTGACCCATAAAATCAATGTCTAGCAATAAATACTCAGCTTTTATAAGGTTATTGTGGCTAAATAATAGACATCTTGGAGCTTTATATGATTGCTGCCTAGTATAGAATTGAAGACGGACTTCTAAGTCAGGGAAGACCTTGTACTCAGAATTCAGAAATGTAGCAGAGTTAGCCACAGAAGGGCTTAATGGCTATAGATCTGTAGGAGGAAAAATTTCCTGGTATAGAGGTTATTAACCTGGGCATACAATTTCCTAAGCAGGATTGTAGAATCCTTCTCAATAAAAATCTTCAAGAACTAGGAAGATAACTCTTACCACCACCAAGCCTGTTGATATAGTTTATATAAAATCTTACCTCCCAGTCAGGGCACATGCCTGGGTTGCCAGCCAGTTCCCAGCAGGGGACTCACGAGAGGCAACCATACACTGATATTTCTCTCCTTCTCTCCTTCCCTTCTTCTCCAAAGATAAATAAATAAAATATTTTTTAAAAAAGATTTAAAAAATCCTACCTAGCTGTTTCTGATTCATGGAATCTTCCACTTTGGTTTCAAGTCTACATTTTCCATCTAAGAAACAGAATGAGAAATTGTAGCATAGTAAGAAGTACTCCATAATCCACATTTTTGTCTCTTGCCTTCTTTGTCAGTATCATGCCATCTATTTTCCAGAAACCAAGAGAAAAAATATCTCCATCAAATACAACCACCAGAGACTTCTAGTGGGAGACACCCTTTTCCTACAATGTGATGCAGAGACCACGTTCAATGGACGCATCAATCTGAACTGGGTGTTCAATCGGCAAAATGTAAGGACACTGTCCCTACTCCAAATATTCACAAATCTGCCCACATCCTTTCTCCCTGTCCTTCCCACTCGGTTCCTACTTTGGGTCAAGAACCAGGCAAAGTGCTAAGCAGATTAACAAAGGTGAATAATAAGCAGCTTCTGCATTTAGGAGGCCAGTCTTGTGGGGGACTTGCAGTTCACTTCACAACATATCGTGGCTCATTAGTAACATATGTAATGTAATAAAAGTGCAAAAAAAGGTGTCAGCTTTTCATAGGGATTTTCTTTGGCTTTCTGTCAAACTGTGACAAGTGAGGCTCTTAGGAGTTGCTCAATAATCTCAATTGAAATTATTTTCTTTTTTCTTTCCCACCCCTCAGTCCAAGACAACACCCAAGTGTTGTGAAATTAAAAGACACTTGGACCAAGGGTCCCCTGTGTACAAGAGTTATACTAACTTGACCATCTGGAATGTAACTATGGAAGACAAGGGTTTGTACATTTGCAGAGAAGACGACAACACTGCCCTGCAAGCCAATGTCACCATCACAGTGTACAGTACGTAAAATTTTTATTTCTGACTCTCCCCTGAGGACTGGCCTACCTACCCTCTTCCTGCTCTCTGTATAAGGAATCACTCAGCAAATCACCCCATTTGCTCTCCCAGTATTATGGTCTCAAAGGCTTTTATTCCCAATACTTTGGGCTTAAATCAGAAAAGCTGTTGTCAGGCAGCCCCTTTTCTGTTCTTTCACCATGGGCATTAGATGCCGGGAAGCACTGTGATTTAACTTACATATTTTTACATCCCGTTGAGTAGTTATAGTTATATGGTTTAGGAACTTAGGGTGAAGTAGCTCATCAGTATTTTGGCACATGTAAAGCCTAGATTCTGCCCTAGCTGGTGTGGCTCAGTGAGTTGAGCACAGGTTGTAAAGCAAAGGGCCGCCAGTTCGATTTCCAGTCGGGGTGCATGCCTGGGTTGTGGGCCAGGTCCCCAGTAGTGGGCGTGTGAGAGGCAACCACACATGGATGTTTTTCTTCCTCTCCTACTCCCTCCCTTCCCTTGTCTCTAAAAGTAAATAAATGAAATTTTTTCAAAAAAAAAGACTAGATTCTTGAATATTCTATCTTCTTTGCCCATTTTCAGTGTAATCTTGGGCAATTTGCTGTACCTCCCTGGCCTTCATTTTCCTTTTCATGATGATATACTGTTTGAGAGTGAGTCTAGCTTGTTTTTCTGATATTGATGTGACCATAGATTTCCTAGTGGAAAGAATTAATTGAAATTCTGTTTAACATGATTACCTTGTGTTCGTGAAGCCCTTTTCTTACAAAGACGTATACACACACGTACTAACACATGTTCTCACAAACACGTGAATACCCATATCCTTCCTTGCACAGTCATATAAACATACTTAATATTTGTATGTATACATAAGACAAGGCACAAATACTAATAACTCTGAACACACATACTTCAAAATGCAAACACACATTGTCTGGCTTTATTCTGCAGTAAGATATTTCACACTTATGGTCAGTTCAACCCCTACATCCTGGTTTATAAGGTAAACCTACTTTAGTTCTCTCAGCCTCTGGGTTCCATAGAGCCACTGGTATCAGCTGCATTGCCTTCAATATCAAGCAAGAGGAAGCCTCACTAAAGTTAGCTGAAGCAGTAAGGACAATTATACAACAAGGAATCCTGAGGTTTACAGTTCCAGTGCTGACTGACTTAGCGGATCATCAATGTCCTTTAGAAGCCCAATTACTTCCCCTGTTTTACTCTTACATTCCCAGTATCTTCAAAGTGCCCCTCAATTCCATACCTCATATGCCAGTGATAATGTCTTAAAGGCAGGGAACTGTGAAAATCTCACAACTTGTGTCTCTTTTAGAGTTTTTAAAATCTTTCTTAGAAATCCCCTAGCTGATTTCTCCTGTTTTATTGTTCATAAACACATTACCTGCCAGTGTCTAAATAATCACCTGGCAAGGAATATGACCCAGATGACTGGTCTGCTCACATGGTTCTCAGCTCACAGGCAGTACTGCCTCTCGGGAGCATTGGAAATGCATGAGGGCATTTTTTGTTGTTGTCAAAATGGCTAGAGGTTACTACTGGTATTGATTGAACAGAGCAAGGATTATAAACATACTTCACAGTTCAGGACAGTATAGCACAACAAAGAATTATCTTTTTTAAAATGCCAACAGTGTCTCCCCACAATCCACACTGAAAAACACCACTTTATGACAATCAAGATGGACCCCTCTGGGGCTGGAAAGGATGTAAGTACAAATGGGAAGACTGAACATAGTTGGGATTCAGTTAGACCTATGTCTTCTGACTCCATCCCTGTTTTGCTTTCAGAGAAACCATTCCTCAATGTGAGCTACAAGAGAAGCCGCATTTATGAAGTGACAGCTGGACAAAGTGTGCTCAAAATGGGGGTGAGGGTGGATGCTTTCCCTCGCCCCAATGTGACCTGGTATGTAGGATCTTCTTTCCTAGCTGTTTTGGTTTCCCAGAGCCTCTTATTTTCCCCTACCTCTTCAGAGCTGTTCTTTGAATACATCTCACTGAGAGTCAATCATACAGCAGACCTGCCCCCCAACAAAAAAAAAAAGGAAAGGAAAAGAAAAAAGGAATATAATTAACCCCCACCCTACCTTCAGGGCACTCACAGCCTCAAGAACCAGGGCTTTATCTCCTCCTCTGCAGGTTTCTTTGCTTGTTTCCTCTTTCCTTTATTGATTTCTCATGTATTTGGGAAAAATGAGTTTTGTATTCTGAAAAGAGAAGAGGAGATAAGGCTGGGAAGTTAGCCAAGGCCATTGTAGAATTCCACAATCTCAAATTTGGAAGGAGTTTTGAAGGTGATTTTACCCAGTCTAATAAAGGCTGTTGAAGGGTAAGAAGTCATACAGTAGAAAGAATATGGGCCTTTGAGCCAGAAAAACCTCTGTTCCAATTCTAGTTCATCAAGTTACCCAGCAAGTCTCTTAAACCCTCTAAGATTTAGTTTTCTTTATTTGTAAAAGTTGGGTGGCAATGTCCTATGTTATAGAATTTTTTGAGGAATAAGTAATAAATTATCCTGTAAAAAAAATCTCTATAGCTTATTCAAGTGGTCAGTAGAAAACCATTGAAGGCCCTGCAGCAACGAGTGCTAGATTTGAAGCTAAGCTTTGGGAAGATTAATGTGGCCTTAGATGTGTCATATAGTTTCAGATGGAGAAAGAGTGGAGAAATAGTTACCAGTTTATGCAGTTATTACAGCAGTAGTTCCCACGAGAGTGTGTGGGCCTGCATAATCTGGAGGCATGGGAATATACAGAATAGATTTGGGAAACATTGCACAGGTACAATCTTCAGGGTTCAGTATCCAATTAGACGTATGAATCAAAGCCCAAGGATCAGAAGTGCTTCACAATTTTCAAGTTTGGTGATATGTGAGACTGCTGCAGCTATTAACAGTCTGGAGCTACATGTTGAAGCTGGAAACTGGGGAGTCATCAGCTAGGAGTGGATGAATGCACCCAGGTGGAGTGCACAGAGAGAAAAGAGTCCAAACACAGAATCCAGGGGCAGGTTTAGATTGGTGGGGTTAAGCCTTTATTCTGCTACTACTGACATTTACACAATACCATATATATATATATATATATATATATATATATATATATATATATACACACACACACACACACACACACACACACTCAGGTCATTAGCAACTCCGAAATTTCTTATCCAAAGCACCCTCTCTCCTTATTTCAGTTGTCTGCTCAAGTATTTTAGCTGCTGGCTCAATAGGGCACACAAATTTAAGGGGGAAGGAAATGGAAGAAGAGTCAGTGAAGAAGAGAGAGACAATGATGAGAACAATGTCCCAAGAGCTAGGGAGGAAGACCTGATCCCTGAAGCCAAACAGTCTAGAAGATCTGAGAGTAATGATGACTAAAAGACCACTTGCTTTCATAAATAGGGTAATGCTGCTAAAATTGGAGAATGTGGTTTTGAATGAGTGTCAGGGAGAAAAATCCAAGTTTCAAATGTTAAGGAGTGGATGGAAAGTAAAGAAGTGGAAGCATGTGTGAGGCCACTTTCAAAACGTTTGGACCATTAAGGAAAAGAAAGAGACAGGTTCAATTGTTTATTACCACCATGGCTGTACAAAGGTGCTCCAGCCTGGAAATTTTATGGAGAGGATTCTACTCTTTTGCCTCTCCGTGCTGATCATGATGAAGCATAACCAAAATGCTCCTGGGGGGAAAAGTTGGGTGTTCTAGAGGCCTGCACGGGACTAACCATGCCTCCCCTGTTCCTCACAGGTACAAAGATGGCAGACCACTCCCAGCAAACCATACCTTTCAGCCTGATCCTCTTAAGTACAAACTCACAATCCTGGAAGTGAACGTAAAGCATGCTGGTAACTACACCTTTGCTCTGAGCAACACCAGGCACGGACTCTACAGAAACCTCACCATACAACTGATTGTCAATGGTGAGTTGCTGGGGTTTGGAATATACTCAGTGAATACATGCAGGTTCTTGTCTCTATTACATTAGAAGAAAAAGTCAAGGCAGGAACACAATAGGAACTGCCTTGACCACACAGGGACAGGAGTTTTGAAGGTACTTTTAGGTCACCAAGTGTTTTCAGATTAGCCCTCTATGCTGAATTTTCAGATCTTTGATGAATTCATTTTCTATAATTTTCTGTTACCAAAGACCCTTAAAGTTGGTCTCTTCATATTGAGAAATGTAATTTGAGGAGGGAAGAGCCAAAACTCCACTCTGGTACCTGCTCCTATACATAAAAGGGACTAGAAAGAGGATCACATTATCTTCCATGCCTTATCCTAGACCCACTCCTGCTGATATCCCTGGGAAGTAGAACAAAATGATATAGTCAGGCATTCTGAGCACAGCCACCACTGTCTGCTTCATAATATCCTTATTCCAGTTTTATCTAGTGGCTTAGAAGCCTATGTGACTTGGCTAGCTTATCGCTTCCCCAAAACCAATGCTCTATTTTAGTCTCTGTTTCTGCATTGTCTTCCAGCAGAAGACCTTCCTGCTATTATGAGCAGCCTAGCTTACCTCTCACTTACATGTTGGGCTTCTGGTAAGGAAAAGGGAAGTGTGTGAGAAATTAAGAGCCATTCTTGGATAGACCAGTCCTTTGGTTTTTTTTTTTTTAAACCTTGTTTCATCAGAGGGGAGAATAAAACGGAGAAGCCAGGTGGGTCATTACACGGCTCTAGGACTATGACTTCCCATCGTTTTTTCCCTCAACACCAAAACTTTGCAAAGGATCATGGGTTGAGGGAGGGAAGCTTGCTAGACTTTTATTCAGCATTTTTGTTTTACATGGACCCTGGATTATCTGTGTTATTTGTCCATCCTTGCTTACTATGAATGTTTCCTAGATTTCTCTGGGCCTTCCAATATCAAAAAGAGTAGGCTCATTTGAAGAACTAAAAATAGGTACCACCACTATCCCCACCACTACCGTAACTGTCGTGATTAGAGAAGTTTCAGCCTGGACATTGGGGTAAGCACTTGATGCCTCTTTGCCATCTCTGCTAGTCTCTCAAGTCAGACTTATCCCTTCTCACCCTGGCAGTCAGGTGGGCACATAATGAAGGGGTGTTGACCCTTTGAACCTGTTCTCAAACCCAGATTCTCTGACCCAAGCCCTTGTTGACCATGCGACCATAGCAATTCACTTTGCCCTTATGATCCTGTTTTATCATCTCTAAAATAAGCGTCATGAGACCCTCCTCACTAGGCTGTCATAAAAATCACATGACATAAATAAAGTCTCATGCTTTGCTACCCTATTTTCTTATCTTCTATCATGGTCTTCTGCCAAAATTGTTGAATAGTAGTACTTAAACAGCATGATGTAGGCATCCTAGTTCTCAAAAAATAGTTTCTACATCAAACGTCAGGACATAGACCATTCTAACTAGTCCAATGAATACCAAACTAAAACAAAGAAAAAAATTCCACATCCCTACCCACAACTATCACTTTCTCTCCATTCCCTCTGTGCTGAACCTGCTCTTTGGTTCAGGAGTTCCCCAGTAAGATATCTGAAGAGGAAGGAAAGATGGCAGCAAAACCGCAGTAACTCCTATCCGTCCTAGGGGTTCTCTGGTCAAATGCTATATAGTTTGTACTTTCTCAAGATCATGTTACCTGCTTTTTATTTTTTCTTTTTTTTTTAATTGTAGGCTTCCAACTGATGCCTTACTGATACCACCTTATTAAACCAACTCAATTCAGAGTTTTTCAGGGCAAAAAAAATTCCGCTTATGGCAGATAAGAAACTAAGAGGCTAGCCACCAGCTGTGATCTCTTTTCCCATGTCCTTACAGAATGGCCTGATAATGTTTTGTTTTCTGTTCTTATCATCACAGCACACACTTGCCTCTCATAGTCCATTGATGTCCAAAGAAATAGTTGATCTGCAGGCATGGAGGGGTGGGGGTATAAGTCTGCAGTCTCTGCATTGGCTCCCTACGCTATCCCTAGCTTACCTGAAAAGAAATCTGGATACCACTTTTTGGTCCTGAGAGAATCAGATAATGAGTCTGATGTAAGCACCCATACAGAGAGGAATACACAGTGCTGCAATAGGGCTATCGGGTACATGATTAAGGAATAACTATGTTTTTTTCCTTTTAACCTGAATACAAGGGGGGACCCCCCAAAACTGAAATTATCTTCTAGAGGGTAGCCCCTTGTAGTATAGGCTTCCCCCACTAGGTGAGTATTCTAGAAACCCATCTTTAGCCGTGTGCCAGCTGGCGTTGTTGTGAGAGGCTGTGTTCAGCTTCAGTGCATTTTTTGGAAGAATTTTTCCACACGTTTGCCCATTTCATGATGGGTGACTTACAAGCACACCTTCCAATACTGTGCTTCGTGTTCAGCACTTTTTTTGACCAAAAACAACATGACCGCTGTACCCCACCCTCCCTATTCATCTTCTTTTTTTTTTTTTTTACTTTTTTTTTTTTAATTTTATTTAGTTACTTTTCAAGTACATTTTTTTTCTCTTCCCCCCCCGTCTCCCCCCTCCCTCCCATTCCCCCCCCAGTCCTCATCTCTGTGTCATTCATACTTGTTCCTCAAAATCCCTCCCCCTTTTTCCTGATCTTACCTTAAGTGGCTTTTTTTGTTTGTTTCCCTGGATGAAAAGCATTCTCAAAGGGAAACATTTTGCCAATTTGCAAAAGGGGAAACAAAACACAACAGAAATATTAAAAGGCATCAAAATTAACAAGTTCAAAAACTATTTTGAACAGTGGAAAAACATCTTGATAGGTGTATTAGATCAAATGAAGAGTACTTTGAAGGTGACTGAAGCTTTAACATCTAAGAATAAATATACTAGTTTTTATAAATAAATTCCTGGGTTTTGGGGGTGCCCCCTTGTATATTCTAGTAGAGGAAATGAAAAGCAACATAGCCTAGCAGGAGTAACCCATCATGCCAAAAGGGAAAACATTACTCCAAATAAAAATCTAGGAAATAGGGGTCAAGAGAAAACAAATAACTCAGGGTCACCCAGCTAGTTCAGAGCACAGGATCATTTAATTCCACACCATTATCTTTTTCATTCTAAAGATGTGGGAAAAATGAGGTCTACAGTGAGACAGTGATTTATCCAAGGTATCGCATAGTATGTTAGAAAGCAGCCAGAACTTGGATGTAAATCTTCTCTGTTAGTAAAATAAGAGATTAGTCTGTTATTTCACAGACTCAAAATAAAAATGACCAGGCAACGTGGTGATCATGTTTCAGTTTGTACATGTATCAGATCACTATGTTGTACACCTGAAGCTCACATAATGTTGCATATCAATTATACCTCATTAAGAATGAACAATATTAATATAACAAAGTAAATATAATTTCTTGCCCTGACTGGTATAGCTTAGTGGATTGAGTGTGGGCCTGTGAACCAAAAGGTTGCTGGTTAGATTCCCAGTTAGGGCACATGCCTGAGTTGCAGCCCAGGTCCCCAGTAGGGGATGCACGAGAGGCAACCACACATTGATATTTCTCTCCCTCTCTTTCTCTTTCCCTTCTCCTCTCTCTAATAAATAAAATCTTAAAAAAAATAATTTCTTAAATATGTGAAAACTCATAAAATTTATACAAAGAACAACCATGACTTAAACAAGAGAATATGTAACTACCCTAGTCAGTGATCCAGGATCCTTGTTGTTCTGCTGTTTCCAAAGTCTTGTTCTCATCCACATGGTCCGAGACAGCTCTCTACCACCAAGTGGGGAAAAAGAACTCCTGCTCTACCATTTAAGGACATGATAAGGAATTTGCACACATACCAGCATTTGGTCACATGATCACCCTAGCTGTGAAAGAGGATAAAAAACATAGTTTTAAATAAGCAACCATGTTCTGTTTTAAAATCTATTACTATGGATGAAAGGGAAAAGAAAGAAAAAACAAAGTGTTTGCTATATATACTGTTGTACAAATATAGTTCAGAGACAAAGCCCAGAATTTTGTCCTTATGCTTCTGTCCTTTGCTGCAATTCTTTGATTAATACTTATATCAGCTTCAGACTTGGAGAGGATTGTGTTCATATTCCTCAATGTTCCATGTCACAGTAACAGTGAACAGGTAGTACTTGCTGAATCACTTGGCCGGCCCTGTAATGTTGAGTTCAGCCACACAGGGGGACCAGAGTGCAGTGCAGAGCTCAGACTTTTGGAGTGTGTCTCCTGGGAAAGCTTCTGTCCGGGAATCAGATGGGAGGATGCTGGGTTTTGTGGTTACATTGCAGGGGGTAAGTGCTCCTATCTCCCCTGCTAACTCACCCTGTGCTACCTGGGGAAGAGGAAAAATTGTCCTCCCCCATCCTATAGGCTTGAGGCATCACCCCCAATAGGAGACTGTTTGGGTACCCAGTACCCCCCAGCTCAGTTTCATGGTGGAAGAGACAGTGGCTCAGAGCTAAGACAGTCAGAATATGAATCTCTTGGAAGCCATTCTCCAGGAATAGAATGAAGTGCTTATTCCCCTTCTGTGGACTCAGTTGGCATCACTCGCAATGGGAGTCTCTTTTGATCTGTTCCTGACCCCAGTAGCTGTATCTAGCTGAGTTTGCCTCTGCAGAGGGGATGGCTGGCTGTACCCAACCTGAAACTGTAGCACACACCTCCAGAGGGAATTACAGCTGGAGACTCTGGCAGAGAATGAGTGGTTTGGTTCTGCGGTAGGGGCCACTTTTCCATCACCTCTGTCCTCCTGACCCTGGTTGTCCTGCCCTACCGAATTCACAACTTGTGGAAATGTCTGTGGGTCACCTGAGCCCACTCTATAGTCTTTCTTTGGAGGGTTCTGGAGGAAGACCAGACAACCTCAAGTGGAGGCAGAATAGCTGAGAGGTGGAGGCAAACCTCAGGGAGCCTTGGACATTTTACACATCTGCCCTAGCTCTAAGCTGGAGGAAGCTGACCCTT